CTCCTTCTATTGGCTTGTCTGTGCCACTTGTGTGACATATATTGTGGCACTCCTTTCACCATTTGTATTGTTACAATATAATTCCAATCATACAAAAAAATAATATAAAAGTTTAAAATTTAAAATTTTAATTTAAATTCACTCCAATCTCGCGAAAAAATAGAAATTTTCAAAATTTCCAATTATGGCTTAATCTGCTTTGATCTCGTAAGAAAATAGAAATTTTCAAAATTCTCAATTATGTTGATATAATATAATTTATAAATTTAGGAAAATGTACTGTATTCAATGTCGATCAAAATTCTACCGAGACAAGAAAATTCATGTAATTTTTTAGAAAAACTTATCAGTTTATATAAATCATCCAATAATATTAGGAAATTTAATTACGTAATCTGTCTTGTCTTGGTAGACTATATTTTAGAATATTTTTTTAGATGATGGATAAACGGAAGTAATACTGAGTGAAATGATATCACATTTCACTAATCTATATTTATCTACTAATGTATATGTTATACACCATGTAATCCATTAAAAATATTCAGAAATATTTATATAATATTTTTATATTTTTATAAAATTTTTTAGTTTTGAAAAATTAAATTTTTTAAAAAAACAATTTTTTTTAACCTATTTCTGACTATTATATATATATATATATATATATATATTTTCTGTCATAAAAGGGCATCAGATATAAAACTTTATTAATATATATAATATATCTGGATTACATCAAACATCTTTACAAAATTGAATTTATAAATTAATGTTAACCTATCTACAATGCTAACTATTTCTATCCTGGATACACTTAGTGTACTTCGGATTAGTTCTAGTGCTGGATGGTTAATGCCCTTCTAGAGCTGAGATAAAGACTTGTGATTTGATAATGCTGCTGTTATGGTTTGCCTGTAAGTCTATGACTTCTATTATTAGCTTAAGTAAATTTTTATTCTCTAAGATGGCTTTTGGTGAGTGAGTGCTACTGGAGCTTCCGGCTGAGGAGAGGTTTCTTTTTCATTTGACTCCCTTTATTTCAGATGTGTTAGCAGTTGCTGACCTTGGAATCCATATCTGTGAGTATATAAGACTAGTATTTTGTTTGCCATCTTGGCTTGGCTGGTGGTAAATAGTTGTATGTCTATGTTTAACATTCCACAAGCGAGTTTGTCCAGATTAGACTTTTGGCCAAAGTCTAGTTTTTGCAGATTTCTTTCGATTTCTGTTAGGTTCTTCTTATTACTGTTTTTCCTTACAAGCTTAATCAAACTTGTTCTTATCTTGTTTTTCATTTGGTTGAATGCTGCGATATTTTTGTAGCAATCAAAGATGTGACACTGAGTCTCTACTGCTGTGAGACACCTGGGACAGAGGCTATCAGTATAGGTACTTGGGTATCAGTCATATAGCAGTTGTCTAGATGATAACGTTCTGCTCAGCAATTTGAGTCTAAAGGCTAGTAGAGAAGAGTTGTTTGCTCTATCTTTATTGGTTAACAGCCTGTTTGCCATGGTCAGAGTTCAAAGTGCTGATGTTTTTATATTGACTTTCCACCTGTCTTTGATTGACAAGCTCTGAGTAATATTGGCGAGTCTGTGTGTCTGCTGAATTATTTTGGTCCAGACCACTGGATTGTAGCTCCAATTGTTCTTGATTTTTGAACTGGAGGTGTAGCTTTCCGGCTCTACTAGGTTGTCGATTCCTATGATTATATCACTGTCTTGATGGCTTGAGATAATCGGGCTTGACTCTAATCTCAATTTAATATTTTTGCATTCACATATGTTGTTGATTCTTTCCTTTAGAAAACTATATAAAAATTTGACTCTTTGATTTGAGTAACTTGGAATATACAATTTAGTTTTTTTGGGAGATTAATTGCTATGTATGCCTGATTATTTGCTGCCTCTACTAACACTATTATTCCTAAGAAAATGTTAATTGGCTGTGGGTTTGTCAAATAAAGAGCTATATTGGTGTCATGTTCTTGTATAATAATTAATTCTTCTTTGCTCTTGATATTGAAGTGTAAGAATAGTCTATTAAAGTTGATGACCTGTTTGAGGTCCTCTATGGTATTAGTGTTGAGTAGTATTGGTAGATCTCTACACTCATAATATTGATTTCTACTCTTGGATTGTTGTCCAGAGTGACATTGTACTGAAGTTGAAGCCAAATTTCCTCTAGTGCATTGGCTAAGCGATGCTCATTGTTTGTCTTGTATGTTCAGAGGGACATTGCTCTAGTTGTTGAGATGACAATTTAAAGACTATTGACATGGCATTGATATTTTTTGAGAGTCTTGTTCGTTGTTAGTTTGTAATGGGTTCCTTTTATTTGGGGCTGAGTACAGTCACGATTGATCCTTGTTTTGATGAAGCTCAGCTCGTTGTTAGTGATAAAGGCCCAGAATTTGGCTCTTGTATTTGGGATGCAGGTTGAGGTTCCTTTAAAAGTATGTGAAAGATTGATTTTGGTGAACCAGACAGGTATAGGACCTTTGGATGTGGGGCGAAAGTGTGTGTTGAGCTCGTGCCATATTAACTTTCTGTTTGATTAAAAACTGAGTAGATCTTCTAAGAACTTGGTATTTTTTCTGTTCAGTCCTAATGCCTGACGTTTTAGATATTTGCTGTTAAATGAGAAGTAAAGGCCGATTGACTGTTTCCCTTTGGGATGATTGTACTAGCATGGGGTGGGGCAGATGTCAATTCTATATAGTTTTGAGGCTGCTGCTGCTTGTGTGATTCATGTTTCTAGAAATTTCTCAGGGTGGCAAATCGGGCAGAGCCAAATAGTGTGACTGGCTTGAAGGGAATTTATCTCAAGTGACATGGCTTCTTGGGTTTTTGTATTGGTGAGCTTGGCAATGAGAAGTTTTATTAAAGTCAAGTTTTGATTATCTGCTAGGTTTACCAAATTGAGTCCGGCTTGCAAGTAAGTGATCTTGTCTGATATTGTTTTTCCTATCTTGAATTTTTCTTTGATTGTGTTATTAACTCTAGTTTGGAGCTTTTGTAATTGCGGCCTAGGAAGAAAGCTTGTTAAAAGAGAATAATTGAGTTTGTTGAAGATGATCCAATCCAACACTTGTTTCATTATCAATCCATTCCATTTCTGTTTGTGGCAAGCTTCTACAATCTGGTTCAGGTCCTTGATATAAGTCTGGTTTGGTATACCTCTGGCCAAATCTCTAGCAAAGAAATTGCCAAGGTATCGAAAAGAGGTTTTGATACTAAGTGGTCTTATTACTGTATCTGTGACTCATAAGCCTATGTTCCTTGCACTATTGTTGTTCGCTAAGGTAGTAATGAGCATTGTTTTGCCTGTATTGCATTTTATATTGTTGAGTGCGAGAAAGAAGCAGAAGATGTCTATAGAGTCTTGAAGATTATCTAGAGAGTTTGCTATGAGAAGCATATCGTCCATATAAGTGAGGATACTATATGGGATTAGCGGTTGCTTAGCATAGTTATGAATTGTTGTCACCATTGGATCATAAAAAATTGTCCATAAGAGTGGTGAGAGTGTTTCTCCTTGGTCTAGGCCTTTTGACACCTCTATATTGTTTGTGCTGCCAAAGTTTGTTGCTACCACGAGTTCTCATTTGTTTAACAGGTTGTGAAAAATGTTGATAAACTTACTTGGAATTTTGATTCTCTTTAGAGCAGCTTTAAGACTATTAAGATTAACTGAATTAAACACCTTTGCAATGTCAAAGGAGACTATCCACCATTCACTATTCAAATTTTTTGCTGTGTTCAAGCTTGAGGCCGCAATGGTTAGTGGTTCTATTGTGCTTTGGTTAGGTAGTCCTGCAAAGCTGGCTTTTGATAGGATATCATTTTCATATATGATTTTTGATAGTCTGGTATTAATTATTTTTGTAAAAACTTTTCTCGTTGACTTGATCAAAGATATCGGGCGGGTATCTGAAACTCTTCGTGACCATATAATTTTTTTGGGTAATAGAACTATTGTTGACTTTTTCCAATTCTGTGGGATGGTTTCGTCATTGATGATCTTGTTATATAACTGTAGTAGTATTTGTTTTGAGGCACATCTGAAGGAGTTAATCATCTTGTACATAACACCTGAGCATCCTGGGGTCTTATTTGGGGACAGTTCTTGTAATGTGTCTTCGAATTCAACAAGACTTATTGGGGTCAAGATGCTGTTGTATGTGCCTTCATCGATTATGTTGATAGGATCATACTTGTCAGACCAGAATGGATCTGACAGGCTAAAGTTGTTATTCATCAGGACTTTTTTAAAGTGGTTAGTAATAATACTTTTTATTTCCTCAGGGTCATCTGTGAGTATGCCTTGGTCATCTTGTATGAAGTTAAGATCTAGTAAGGGCTTGAGATTGCCTAGTGCTTTTTTAATAAAGCTCTTTGGTCTTTTCCAAAATTTGATAAAGTTATTAGTAATGTTCTTCTGAATTTGTTCAGCCTGAAGCTCTCTGATGTTGTTAAGTCTTTTTTTGATGAGTATGTTTTTAGTCTGGATCAGGAATTTGATGGAGATTGGCGTGGATCTGAAAATTCTTTCATGAATTTGTGCGATGAATCCTGGTACTCTTGCTGAGATAGATTTCTTTTTCTTGGAGACAATTTTTTTGATTCGTCTGATTGTTCTAAAGTATTGGTCTCCTTTGTAATGGGGGCTTGTTCATGACTGGTTTTACTAACGGTAGGTCGTTCTTGGCTGCATTTACAATAGCGTGATTGAATGATGATCAGGAATGGCTGTCCATCATAGAAAGCCTGATGTCTATTTCCTCTTGGAAGTTGCTTCTCTGTTCTGGTGTAGCTTGTTTCCAATTGAATAACTTGGTCTGACAATCTGAGGCTCTGAGCTTATGTTCGAACCAATCAAAAATTATTTGAACTTGCTTGTGGTCTTTGACGATTGATAGATATTCTGAGGTCTTGGCACTAAGAACTTTGAATCCAAGATGGTTCGTACATCAGATTTGATCGATTCTTGATGCATTTGTTTGTATTGTATGGGGGAACTTACTTTTCCTATTTAAAACTTTCATAATATCCACCCAGTTGAACAAATAGTTATAGATCATTTTTTAAATATTAGTTGTTTGTGCATTAATGGAAGTAGTGCCTGTGGAATAGGAGTTGAAGTCCCCTGCCAATATTTGGTGAGTTAGTCCTCTAAATTTTCTTATATGCTTTACCAGTGACTTTGTCACTGTTTTTCTTTCACTTTTCTCATGCGACAAGTAAACGGCCGTGATAATTAGATTGACTTTTGGTTTGAATTTCAAGTGGGCTGAGCACCAATACTCATTTTTTGCATATGTCGCAAAGATGTGGTTGACTAGGTCACCATCTATGATTAGGCATGAGCTATTTTTTGCTGACATTGATAGTGTGCTTGCAATGATAGTCTTGTTATTAAGTTTCTTAAGAAGGAGATTGGCTGTAGAGACTTTAGTCTCGGAACAGCACATTATTGATCTTTTATTTGTGAGGTCGTGTGTGAGGGTTGTTAGCTTTGATCTATCGTTGAGGCCTCTTACGTTTAACATTGTAATGTTTAGAAGATTTTTGATTGTGGTGGTGGTGTTGATATCAGGAATGGCATTTTGTATGAAACTATTCAATAAGTATATTAAGTTAGATGACTCTTTCATTCTAGCAAATAAATGGGATGAGGTCAAAACCAGGCTCCGGTAGATCCTCCGCGAGTATATATTCATCTGGTAATCTGTTGAAATTATAACTTTTATGAAGTTGAGCAATATAAGTTGGTAGGTCGTTATCATTCCTTAGAGGGAATTGGATATCTATGTGATTTTCTTGGTTGAGTCTGTTTAATTCTTCAATCGAGGGGAGAGGTGCTTTGGGGGCTTTAAACCATTCTTCAGGCAATGTAAGAAATTCATATTTCTAATCAAGTTTTCTAATTTTCTCTTAATACTGGTCATCCCTATAGTCTAGAAAGGTATCGATTCCCAGAGAGACATTTACTTCACTAATCTTGCTTGGCAGTTTTTCTTTATTGGTTTGTGAAATAGCTGGGTCGATCCATGCTGGGTCGAGAAAAAGACTGAATTTAAAGTCACTTCTTAGTCAAGCAATTAGGGCTATTGCGCTTTCCTTGGTGTTTGCTGGAATTGGGATGTCAATTTCATCTAAGAGTGGATTTGGAGACCTGGGGAGAGGTCTTTTGTACTTGTAGTAATCTATCGGCAAGGTAATAAGCTTGTATTCTTTTCTCAATATGCCAATGAGTTCGCATGTATTCATTGTCATTGGGTCATGTGGGAAGTATATTGCTAGGTGGGGTGGAAGGAGTTCATATGAGGCTGGCAAGGGTTCCTTTGGTGGAGGCAGGTTGAAGTAAGATTT